AAAAAGAGAAGGGTACCTAGAACTGTTTCTGGATGAACTCCACTTTTTACAGTTTTGTACGTTGATAGAGTCCCATTAACTGTACCCATTGATTCCTATGGTTAATAAAGTCACTTATTCAGTTTATGATTTCATTATGGATCCCCAAACTTTCCCGTTTTAATTTAGGACCCGAATGAGAGACTTTGTCAAAGACTTTTCATAGATCTATGTAAATTACATCTACAGGAATATTTCCATATTTAACTGCAGCCAAAATTACTCTTAATGAGCAGATTGACAGTACGATAGGCCTTCCCTAAAAACATGTTGTTCCCTGGATAAAAGACCATACCCTCCCATATAGTTTAGAATAGCTATCCGAATAATCTTTTCCATTAGTTTGACAATTATATTGGTTAGACCAGCGGGTCGATAGATACCAACTAAGTCCATGCTCTCCGCTTTATTGGGTCTCTCCAGTCTCTTGGCAGTTTAGACTGCCGCAAAGACATACCAAACAGTTCTGCCTAAGGTTCGGAAATTACACCTTCCACTGCTTTCATAATCTTGGGATAAACATTACCAGAACTACTAGACTCGTATGGTTCGAGATGTCGGAGCGACCGTAAGACAGTTCCGTTCTCAACAACCACAAGATCTGTCGACAAGCTGCCGTTGTCACGAGTAATTGTTGGTCATGCTCAGTCGTCAGCAGGAAACACTTTACTAAAATATTCTGATAAGCCTTCAGCTTTTGCAACACCATTTATTCCCAATACAAACGGATTTTCCTGCACCAAAAGTGGTGAGATTCCATCGCCCCTCTGAGTTCCTCTATTTATATACGAAAACAAACTTTTAAAAGTATTTTCATAATTCCTAACCAATTGTTTTTCTAATGAATGTCTAGTATTAATTATCAACGCTTTGCAATTGTACTTAGTCTTACAATAAATGGATCTGTTCTGTTCAGATCATGTAGAGATAAGCATACTCAAATACCTTTTCCAACGTCTAAGAAGTCCCTTGATCTGTTTATTTATCTATGGTAGACATCTATTTGGTTTATATGATACTAAGTACAGCATAGAAGGGGACGTAATTACGCTAGGTGCACCTTTAAATATGGACCGTGCTTCTCCAGTTGACGAAATATTATTTACTGAGCAATCTGTTATTGCAGGGCACTACTGAATGTGTGATAGATTTGATCTCCATATATTTCGACAGACTGATGGATCCAAGAAAACTGTGTCTGAATTATGAGAGGTGATACGTAGTTGAAGAAAGCTACAACTCCATGTACGGATCTTTGGTGAAACTGATATACTAGTGTTGGGACAGCTTCCGAGAATTATGACGGACCCTTCAGAGGCCCTAAAGGAGCCGAAGAGTTTCCATCCAATCAGAATGTGATGGAACTTTCTAGAATGTCAACATGGCGTGCCACTATTGAACAGTAGCACAACATGTCTCCTTGCAGATTGGCTGAATTATTATGTTGATATAACAAAACTCTAATATCTATAGAGACCCATGATTTTCTGTAGATTTTGATCCTTACCCAACAAGCACTTCATTCTTATTCTTCCTTCTTCTTATTTGTGACTGTGTTCTATAAGCTCGAGTTTCGTAGTTGTACACCGTATTCTGCGTTAATCAATTAGCGAACTTAACAAGTGGATTTTATTTTATAAGAACTCCTTAAGAAATGCCTTCAGCGAAAGTGACGTCCAAGGCATGTGTTCCAAATTGAATGACAAACAGGCTTTTTAAGGAGTTCGCTGTAGCTGAAATCAAGATGTGATCTGGAATACGATGGGACAACCTACATAACGGTATATCGTTATAGGTCTCGGTTAGAGTCAAGTCATGGGTTTCATTGCTTAGATTGGTAAACCGATATAATAATCACGATAAAACATAATTGCGTAGACTACTATGTTTAACATCCTGGGGTTTCAGTATTATCAGAGGGGCTAATTCAGATATGTTTTCGTTTCTAAGTACCCTTGTAGTGGCATTAGACCATAACCACACAATCCTCAAAGCTGAACACGAGAAAATTGGGAAAATAGATATTCAGTATTGAACGTGGAGAAAAACCCAATGATGAAGAAGGCGGAAACAGAGAATTGAATTAATTCGAGTTGATCGAATGGCATTGCTTGGCCCTGCAGGTGTGGTAATCGTTTAGTGTTGTTATATACTTTTTATTCATATTAAATATATTGTTCTGTCTCTAGCCTAAGCTTGTTCTCCATCATGTATCGGCGATTGTTACGATGCAATGAGTTGGTGTAGACGATGATATGACTTCCACGTAATATCTCATAGATTAGGCAGTTTTATCATGACAAAACTACAATTTTATGATAAGTCTATTATTAGAGCAGTACTAATGTCAAAGATGACAACAGTTTTACACTCCCAGCTTTTTGAAATAGTAACTGGTGTTGTCTAGAAACTATGAAGTGTTGGGCAGAAACATAGACTTTCTGGAGTTCTTATGTTTCCCCACTGAAGATAATGATAATGTGTATATCTATAAACATCGTATTTATTCTCTTGATTGCTCTTGTTATCTGTGTTAGTTTTATATTGATACCATCGATAACCTTTTAAGTTTGAGAAATTTAATTTCTTCCTTTGAGGAGCCATAATTCTGTTGTCTTTTATCGTGGTGGTCACCTGCGCCATCATTAGTGCTTCAGCTGTTCCATAATGATATAAGGTTGGGGTTTCTAGGAGTTCTGAACTGTGCGTAGATTTATTCTCGACCAACTGTTGTACGTTGCAACGCAACATCCATAAAGCGCATCAATTGTCATATTTACAATATGAGTCTTTGTAACGGAAAGAGAACGATGAAAATCCCTCTTCACCTTTTTTGTTGAACAATACTGTCATTTATTTGTTTCTTCTGCCTGTCGTGTATTTTAACCTTTGTTCAGTTCTCGTTTAACCACACCTTTTGTTCTTTAGTCTTCCTCGTCTGGGCCTTTATTATGTGATTTTGATTACAGACTTATCTTTTGCTAGCTAATTTTCTATTGCATGCTGCCGGACTTTTGATAGTGAGGTCGTGGTTGACTAAGCTCAAGGTCACGGCGTGGTTCGGTGTGTGACTATCAACCTTTTGACTGTGCTTGGGAGGATTGCTGAAATCCCTGCAGATAGATATTTGATTCCATCTTGTTCGGAATATTTTTATTGATTTTCAGGTATCAAACCTTTTGGTATTAACTATTTCTTTTATTGTTTAGCGCGCTACTTTGCGTTAGAGAAACCTTTGACTGTATAGCTCAGGCTGTACCGTTTGAGGTATTTTGTATGTTTGATATAATTTTTTCTATTTCCTAGAACTGTTTAAATTGAGCACACAATTTGTGTTTTCATATAATTTGATACGAGTATCTCAAAAACTCTTGGTACGCTATACAAAAGAACGTAGTCTGGCCTATTCGAATAAATTTTAGTTCGTCAGTTCTGCGTTCAAACCGAATACTAGCAGCTCGGTCGTTACAGTTTTACTAACATTATTTACATTCCTATATGAGAAGAGTTATTCCCCGTAATTCTATGGCCAATGTAGCTTATAAAATATCAACCTCATTGAGTGACCTGATACAGTGTATCCTATAAAGCAGTTTGATCTTGAGTGTAAAATGGAATGCTTCATGTAAAAGATTGTTATTTGAGAACAAATTATTATTCCTATTATCATAAGATTATCGGTGATCAATATATGTAGATCAGCCGTGTTGTACTCAGTGAGATTACGGAGGATACAAGGCTCCATGAAAAACCGAGCAGAGAAACACACAAAAACAAGTAAAATTGTCACCAAAGCATAAGGGAATTTGTGGCATCCTAACCTCATCTTACGATGAAACCGTACGACAGGCTGTTGAAATAAAACATTTGTGGTGCTCACAATGTGTCCTGATCATTCTGGGACCTTCAGTAGATTGTCATGAAGTCCTTATTATGGAGAAAAATGGAGATTGGTTTTGACAATCTGTTCTAAATACATTGGAAGGCAAAACGTCCTGTAACCATGGCCAGGAAACTGTGTGCAAACTGGCAGACGCTGAAGTTCAGGTTTTCTCGAGAAACCACAGAATGCTCACTTATGTTTGCTGTTGAACTCCCAGGAACTTTTAGCTTACCAATGATGAACTTAGCCATTTATTATAATGTGGCTTTAGGTAAGCTTTGAAGTAATCATATGACAATTGAGAGGTGAAGTGGGAAAAGTGGTTTGAAATCCAATATTCTCAAATGCCGTACTATCCGAATCTACATCCTGAAATATGAAGTGCAACTTGTGTCCTTTGGGTCGTGGTTGAGAGTAACTTTGCTCTTTGCTAACGGAAAAGCGAAAGATCAATGTCAGTGATTTGCGAGATGAAAGTGAATTCTGCATCGTTTTAACCTGTTTACGGGTGAGTGGGCGCCTCATTCTCAATCTACTTTTAATGTTATTGCAACGTAAACTGGGTAGCATGCTAAAACCCACACTGTTGTGAGAAGAAATGAGTAGTTCTTGAGTAATGCAGAACCTCGTGACGAGATTATTCCCGTTTTATACTATAGATTGCCTCTAGCCTTCGAATTCAATGTCTAAGTACAAAGAAATTATTTGGTTTATGCTATGTAATCACTAAGTTATCAAATTAGTCAGTAAGAATAGAATAAAAATGAGTGAAATGAAATTTATCCGTACGTTTTATACTTATCATGCTTTAATATCAAACAAGCAACTCAGAATTTTGATATTTGTTTTTCTGTTTAACTGTTTATTATAAGTTCACTATATCAAGGTCATAGTTGCGTTTGAGATACTTCAAATGACTGTGTTCGGCACATGATAATGGGAGAGCTAGATGCTACTTCAAGCTGGGAAGAATTCACGAAAACAGTATGAATATGAAGTAAAATGACTTGGTTTTAGGGAAGATATGAATCTTTGAATCAATTCAGTCAAATTTTGTGTAAGAAATTTAATGTTCCTTATGACTCCAAAACACCTGAGTAAGTCTTTTTCATTCAGTAAATGACTTGAAAGTTTTTTATCCACGTAATCGTGTTTATAAAAAGTACTTTCAGATTTCATTGTTACTTTTAGTGGCTTACTCTTCTACGTAGGTCTTTGAACCAATTGCCCGTTTAGCACACTGACATTTGTACAAATCATAAGTAATAACCATTTTTCATCGGTATGATATTACTTGTAATGTAGTTATCTGTAACGGATGAGTGTTAGTGATAAGTGACGACTATAGCCTTTTTATTTCTCTATTCCTTAAATTTTAGTTTCTAGATCCATAGTTTTCTCTTTTGAGTTTCCTTTGTACTATTTGTTGCTGTATGGTTAAAACAGACATCATTCAACAAAATATTGAGGGAAAGAACAAAACAGTTGCTGAAAGGCAGTTGGGTCTTGGTCAAACAGTTCGAATATTTTGTAAGATGAACCTTACCAATTTGAGTGTGGTTACAACAACTGAGCTATCGTCATGGTTGTTGGTGTTCTTGAATATTTAGATACTCATCATTTGTCATACGCAGTATTTGCGTAGTTTTAAATTATTCCTTGTGCTGCTTATCATACAGGATCTTTCGTCACAATAATATATGATTCGTCGAAACGTCATATGGAACATTTTTATCTACGAACTTCCCTTTGATTTTATCTTAAGAACTACAACGTTGGTCATGATATATGTAGGAAAACTGAAAATCTAAAATACTCAAGAATTTGAATAAGTGTTCAGCAATATGCAAAAATGTTATTAAAACCACACTTTTGGCGGTTCTTTACTGTCCATATTTAACTTTTTCTTAGTTTGTACATTATATTGGTTTCTATCAAAAGACTGGTTACTCGATACTTTGTAAACAATAAAATATTCCATTGTTTCAATTGAAAGTATACTGTTCTTCAAAATCTTACGTAAGGTTTTTAAAGCTAATAAATATTTCTCCGGTGAAACATTTGGAACTTTTCACGTAGCAGTTACAAGTTTACTATCTAACAGTCATTGTTTCTAAAATTCAGAAAACCAGAGATTTTCATATATAAAAATCCACCTTAATAGTTTGATTTATTTTACTTCTTCGGGTTATTTGTGAATCACTTGCATCATTTGACCTAGATGAATAAACAGCATTACGCGCAATTCAGTGAAGTATTAGTCACTGAAAAATGATGTCTGGTTTCTTATAAAACAAAAACCTTGTCTCCCTAATTTTTCTTATAAGTAGGTTTGCTTATTCTCAATATATCATGAACAACTTGACACTTCCTCAGTAAGTAATAAACTAACAAACTGAACAAAACCAAGATTAAGCTCTGAATGGAAATATAACACAATTTTGTGAAATAAATATTTAAGCATATGTAAGCTAAATAGCAAGCCAAAACGTCTTCGAGGTAAGGGATGCTTTGTGGACATAAAAGTGAGGAGATATCTGCCAAGAGTTTTGTCTAGAACGAGAGATAAACATGCATTTTCATAATGGTATATCAATACCAAATAAATGATGAAAGTTTTCTAACAGACAGAACAACAGACTTGCATTCAAATTATTTTTACTCAGTAAGATGAAAGACATCTAAAATATGCGACCACATAAACATGACAATAATCTACCAGTGGTGGGTCTTATTGAGGTGTAATGATGTCCAAAAATCACTGACATTTGATGAATTTGATATTTTAAATACCAGTCTGACACGTTTAAAACAATCATGAGTTCCATTAAGGTATTTTAAGGAGGTAACACTACAATGCATAAGTTTACTCAACTATCGTTTAGTAGTTTTATTAAAGAAAATCAGCATATGTAATAATTTGACGAACAGTTATCTCTCGGCACACATACAAACTCACAGGTTTTTCACAAAATTGATTTCCATCACGTATTTCGACAGACAGAAACAGACAACACTGATAGGATACAGTGAATCTGCCATATTTCATTGGGTTTTTACTGGCAACACATTACTTAATAATTTTAATCACTTCCAAATGTGAACATACTTGAAAAAGACGAAATCCTATGTCTGTCAGAAAAAAATCATATTGCATAAAACGTCGGGTTATGTTGTAGTTTTATTTAATGTTTTGGAGAGTTTGCCTAGTTAATTTTAGTAACAGATCTTGGATATTGGCGGGGGGAGGGTCATAATTTTATTGCTCAATTTACTAAGTCCAGGTCATTTTAAAAGTATGGAAAATTTTAATCTGAGTTGAAAAGAAACATTATTTGCATTATTCATATACAAAGGTGGGCATTCGTTTACTATTTACTTCTTTGCTTTATATACTGGGATTTCAATAGTTCCATAAGGGTTAATAACAGTCCGTTCTCGTTTCTAAGTACCCCATCGAGTGTTGTCTGTAGCCTTTCATAGGCAGCAATATATATTGTTTTGTAAAGAGGGACATTGCATCCACTGAATTCTTGGACTTTAATGTATGACCAGTGACATCCAGTACTAAGACATCCCTAGTCAAATTCTGCCCTCGATGAAGTTGATAAGGTGTCTATTTTGGCATAACCTGCGATTCCTAGCAACGTTTGGTCAATTCAGTAGAACTTCTACAGGACGTTTTATGTGTTTCCGTCTACTGTCCTTACAGTATCTGAAGGCTTTTGTACAGGTGACTCACCTTACTAAAGTAAGACTCTAGTATGTGTGAGTTTACAGATATGGACCTGTGAACTTCACTTGAATACTACGAAAAGTCAGCGTGATCTTGTCACTCAAACAACTTTTTGAAATAGTAACTGGTGTTGTCTAGAAACTATGAGGTGTTGGGCAGAAACATAGACTTTCTGGAGTTCTTATGTTTCCCCACTGAAGATAATGATAATGTGTATATCTATAAACATCGTATTTATTCTCTTGATTGCTCTTGTTATCTGTGTTAGTTTTATATTGATATCATCGATAACCTTTTAAGTTTGAGAAATTTAATTTCTTCCTTTGAGGAGCCATAATTCTGTTGTATCTTATCATGGGCGCTACCTGATGATGGTGAGCCGGAATAGTTGATAAGCGTCAAAGACTTAACTCACATATATATATATATATATATATATAGAGAGAGAGAGAGAGAGAGAGAAAGAGACATTTCCGACTTTTGGTTACTTGGTGATTATACTTCATTCCCGTGAAACATTTTGCTGTTCTATCAGATATTTGAACCAACACAGCTTTTCTTGTGATTTTCGTCCGTTTTATCGTTATTCAAGGCTAGGCAACTTTCAGTATTTTCAGAACTTTGTCAACAGCTGGACAATCAGTTTTGAGTAGTTGGTGATTCGAAAATTGCGTATAATATCGAGACTTAAGAAACCCAATGTGAGTAGTGGTTCGGACATACATATTTCAAACATGCTTGTAATGGAAAGAAAATGTTGATAATTCCTCCACAGCATTTCGTTGGGAAGTATTGTCATTTATTTGTTTCTTCTCTCCGTCTTATATTTTAACCTTTATTTAGGTCTCCTTTTAACCAAACTTTATGTTTTCCAGTATTCCTTTTCGGGGTTTTTGTTATCTTAATTACTTACGCCTATTACTCCCAATGGAACATAAACGGCCGACCAGCATTCTGGTCTTGGTTAAAGATCCGCTTTTTATTACTAAATTTACTGTTCCATGCTGCCGGACCATTGACAATATATTCATGCGTGACTAAACTCAGGGTCACGGCGTGGTTCAGTGTATGACTGTTAACCTTTGATTGTCCGCTTATAAAAGTTGATGGAACCCTTGCAGATAGATATTTGTTATCATGTTTTTGGGTATATTTTTGTTGGTTCTCAGGTATCCAATTCTTTTTTGTTAACTATTCCTTTTGTTGTTTAGGACGTTAGTCTGTGTTAGGACTGCACCGCTTGAGATATTTTGTGCTTTCAATATAATATATTCTCTTAAGTTAGAACCGTTTAAATTGAACATAGAGTGTTTGGTTTGATATAATTTAATACAAGTCATTCAAAAGCGCTTCACAAGCTATACAAAAGAATGTAGTCTGGTCTAATTGAGTAAATTTTGATACGTCAGTTCTGTGTTTAAGCTGAATATTGTCATTTCGGTTGTTACGCACTTCTTCAGAGTAAATAAATAACTGAATGCAATTAACAAAACTTTAACTAGTACAAAGGAAACAATGCAGAATTTGTTGGTACAATAGAAATCATAATAGGTCTGAATGAGTCAATGTTAAGTTATTCTTTGTCAAGATGAATTTATATGACTTGCCCCTGTATTAATTTGTGTATGAGCATGAAAAATGTATGCAGTTGTAAAATTAAGTAGTGGGGTTTAATTTAGGTGTGCGTGTGTGTAGATTGTGTGGGAAATGATTGAGGTTGTTTATATAAATAGTCCAGGTTGAATGAACTTCCAGGCCTTCTTTCCTATTGAAGGCATAGGGATTTAGCATGATGTGAGACGCTTCGGTCACTCTCATCACTTTATAGTTGGAAAAGTCTTCCTGAATTATTTTGATATTTTTAATATCAAATAAAATGGCCTGTAAATTTTTTAATTCTACAGGATTATTAGGAGGTCTTTTTGTGTAACCTAGATGTTCCTTAGCTCGAGTACATTATCTTTTAATGCATACCAGACTTAATCTGTTAACTGAATAGGAAATTAGAATCATTCTGTTATCTAGTTGTAATATAGATTCACTATCAATTATGATTGATTTCATTAAGGTCTATGAATAAACCATAATAGAATATCTCAGAACCTGTGTATTTTTTTTTACAGAGAAACGATGATTGAATTTAAAGTATAAAATAGCCTATAACCTTATTTTAAATGATTTCATGCAAAAGTCTGTGAATCACACAGTAAATAATTCATGTACAAAATGTCAATCAATTGTCTCAGACTTGACAGTTCCTTCGTTTCCACATCAATTATTCACTATTGTCGTTTTCTTTTCTTCGACTTTCTTAACCTTTTACCGCCAGACATTTCACTTTTGATTGATGATCTATACTACTCATATCTGTCGATATCAGTATCGTACATCACAATATAAGTAAGCGTGTATATGTGAGTTTTCGACGAAACTGGATGAATGAACTTTGATTTCTTAAGTGTTACTGAGTATGTTATTGAATGCATTCAAGGGGATTCAATGATTGCTACCTATTCAAATGCAATAATATCGTCAACTTTATTCATCTTTAAATTAATTGTGAATGACAAGAAATATAAAGGTGAGACTATAATTTATGACCGACCTTTGAGTGACGCTAAACTGTCCTTGAGAATGTCCGCCTAATAACTAGGACCAAGTGAGGAATTCGAATTATGATTTACAGTTGATGATTAAGGTTAGAAACTAGATTTAGTGTTTTCATCACGAACTGACATCAGTTATAATGCCAAAACTCTATTTAGTCAAATGGATGATTGAATTTCGCGACAAAATCCGAGATCTGTTATCTTACACCTGATTGCATTCGTCCATAAATTATAATCTTGCCATTGATTCTGTCTTGAAGAAAGAAAATCATTTTCTGAAAAATAATTTTTTGTTTTCTACAATTTTACTTATCTTGGAAGTCTGATCAACCTTAATGGGTTGCTGTCTGACGAAATCTCTAGGCGAATTTAGAAAGCTCGTTTGGCTTTTGCCAACTTACGTCACCTATAGAGAAGGTGAGATATCCGTCTATCAATTAAGGGATGAGTATACTGTGCAGCAGTTCGTTCTGTCCTATTTTATGGATGTAAAATGAGGCCATTAAGAGTAGACGATACTCGTAAGCTACTAGTATTTGAGCATAGACGCCTTAGAAATGTTGCTTGCATCTGCTGGGATCACTAGGTAAGTAATAGTGAGTTTAGATGTCAGGGTATTAGGGAATGATGGTAAGTCAGTTGATGAGGTTGTAAATCTTCATCGACTGAGATGGTTTGGCCACGTGTTGCATATGCCTGGACACCGTTTGCCACGACACGCAATGCTGAGTAGTGTTGCGGATGGTTGGAAGAAAGTTAGGGACGGCCAAATCAAAACGTGGCATCAGTGCTTGAAGTCACTAACTTCTAGTCTGGGTCATGTTGGTAGATGCAGACTGCTTGGTTGAGGTCCCCGTGACTATCCTAACCAATGGTTGGAGACTCTTGGTCACATAACTCAGAATCGATCACAATGGCGTCGGGGTATACACTCTCTGTCTTCCTTTAAACTATGAGATTAAAATTGATTCATATCTTCCTTTCTACGAACTAATTCTTTCTTCCTGTACTGTATCCTTATACACAGTCCTTCTTTTATACATTACTACCATTCAATTAACTGCTTCTATGAATCCGGTGTTAATCTTGTAGTGCTAATGCGGTATGGCAAGTTGGATCGATGCAATATATGTGCCTGGTCCTACATTATAGCTGACTAACTGACTGACTTTACATGTTTTCTTATTAAAAGGATCATCTATTCTATGAACTGATTCTATCTTAAACAAAATTATTTTCTAAAAATAATTCCTTTTCCCGTTTTTCTTCCATTTTAAACAGTCAACTAAGAAATTTTCTTACATTCAATGATTTACCAAATGGATGTATTGAATATCTACTTAACAAATTATACATACAATCTAATTCACTTCTTATTCAATTGAATCTAATCAGCTATAATAATGATCAAACGAATATAGATTCAGCATATACTACTGAAATCACTTCTAAACATCATCATCATCATCATCATCAGGATGATGATGTTGATGATGTTGAGGATGATGACGATGACGATGACGATAGATCGTTAATGACATTTGATAAGTTACATTGTCTCCTTAAATTATTTTGTTTATTTGGAAGGTAAGTTATATTGAATTGTTCTTTTGAATATAGATGTATATTATTATCATCATTATCATCAATAGAAATGATCCTATTCAACAATTCATTATTGAAGATCATTCTATTCATCAAATTATATTAAATCTATTGAAATTGGTAATTGCATTCTTACTTGATCTTTCTGATCTATTCACTTTGATAGATTTATCATTCAAAAGTTTTTGATCTATTGAATCTTATAGTTTACTTCATAGAAACATTCTATGATCCTTATGGAATGTGGAATAAATGGAAATCTATGTAAGTTATGGTGATATTCATTGTTTGTCAATTGAATGACTTGTAATACTGTGATGTGTGCTACTGGTGTTGATAGATATAAGTAGTATGTATCATCAATTGAAAGTGAAGTGTTTGGCAGTAGAGAAGGTTAAAAAGATTGATGAAAAGAGAATGAAATGAAAGAGTGATTGGTGTGAAAACGAAGGAATAGTTAAATCGGAGACAATGAGGTTCTCAAATTTTACTAAGAGGTTCTGCAATTTTGTATTCAAATACACTTGGTTGTAATTTTATTAGTTGAAATGGTGAGTCAATTGAAGCTAGACCACCATGGATAACCTGGAAGTAGTGAACGGTCGTTTCGTCCTAATCTGCGACTCCTCAGTAATTCGCATTCACGATCACGCCTCGCGAGATTCGAACCGAAGACCTATCAGACTTGCACGTGAGAGCTTAATCACTAGAACTCGAAACCTGCCGGCATCGAACGGTGTTAATGACTAACTTTAACTAATCCGCGAAATCGAACGACATATTTACCTTTGGTTGTTCACATTAGGGTTCTTGTTCACTACACACACACATCATATATTTATATACCAGTAGGATACTCAAATTCTGCGTAAGTATAAAACGCAAAGTTAGTAAGTAGTATGCACAGTATGAGATTCAGAATGTATTCGGTTTTTGTGATCTCTTAATTATGTTAATTCATTTTGGGAGCTCACTTAAGAAAAAAACTCCAATCAGAACAGTCAATCACAGAATTTCTCAGTAAAATCTGAGAACCATAGAGTAAATACTTTATTTGCGAAATGTCGATCAAATGTCTCATACTTCATTGTTTGCGTTCGCACGCGAGACCGATAGATCCTGGGTTAGAATTTCGCCAGGCGGGATCGTGGACGCACACTATTGAGAAGTCCTACAATAGGACGGAACGGCCGTCCAGTGTTAGCAGGTTTTCTATGGTGGTTTAACTTCAAATGACTCATCATCTCAACTATTAAAATTACAACCAAATGTATTTAAATACAAAATTACAGAATCTCAGTAAAATCTGGAAACCATACAGTAAATACTTCATTTACAAAATGTCAATCAGTCGCTTCAGATTTCATTGTTCTTTCGTTTTCACACCAATCACTCTCTGTTCCCGTTCTTTCCTTCTCGATCTTCTTGACCTTCAGCTGGCAAATATTCTATTCCTAACTAGCGTTATATACTACTTATATCGATATAGCTAATACACATCACAATACTGGTATCATAGTGAATTTTTATTCCTGCTAAGATGTATCATATGCATGCGACCAATATTTCTGTCGATAATAATAATGGTACAATAATAAGTTGGTTAATCCAATACTAATTGTGAATAGCATAATATATCAGTAAGTATACTTTCAGTACGTAATAGATTGATTGGTAATGACCTTATTAATTAGGTGATTTATTGACGGTTAAAATTTATCTACTATTTTGACAGAAGAAACATCAATTACTGGTAAAACATTAATGACCAGTAAAGTTCAACCGGATCTGCTGTGAGATAGTATCTCATTGATGACAATGGTGGACAGTGGTGCAACTTCGTGGATTGGTTGAAATTAGACATTAACACTTTTGGATGCCGGCAGGTTCAGTGGTCTAGAGGTTAAGCACTCGCGCACGAGAGGGATACATCTTGGGTTCCGGATTCCACGAGGCGGGCTAGTGCATACGTATTGCTGAGTAGTCCCACAGTAGGACGAAACGGCCATCTAGTGATTCCAAGTTTTTCATGGTGGTCTAACTTCAATTGATTCATAAATTCAACTATTGTGAAATTACTATAATATCCACAACACCCCCCTTCTTTGATTAAAATCATTAATTGTTACTTAAAAGTGTTTACGTGTCTTCGTATCTAAGTGTGTATGTGTGTATGTGTGTTCTAGTTGATTCCCATTTATTATAATGTTTTCCTATGATTTAAAATTTTAAATCTTTGTTTCTATGTATAAACTATTTAGTTACTATGATCAAAAATATGAAAATTTAAGATTTTTCACTTCTATATCTACATTATCAAAAGAATCACTTGATAATATTCATTTAAGTATATTCGGTAAGTAACCTGTTTACTCATTGAAATATATATAGTTTTATGATTTGTTTTAAAGAAACGTGAGAATTTTGTGGATTAGATACATATTTAAGTAAACAATACAAAACAAAATCCTAAATCAATAATCATAGTGACAACTGAATGTTGTGTTTCTTGTACTCACTTAGTAACTAGGTTATAGGACATTACTTGGGGGCCTGTAAGTTTTAGAAGTAACTTCTTTGATTATGATACGTGATGAGATGGATTTGAATTCTATAGTTTTTGTTTCTTCGAATTGCAGTTACACACTCTTGATTGATGCCAATTGGTATGGTGGAGAAGATTTGTAGCTCAGGTGGATGATTTTGGTGGAGTTTTGTTCTATGAGCTGGATGGTTTGATCGTGGATTGCGTCAACTGCGTACACACTTTGTTCAAGAGGGCGAGGACACACTGCAGCACACGGGCAGCACGAAAAAATGAAGAGAAATACCTGAAGGACGTATTTCAAAAGAACGGCTACCCAATCAACTTCATCAAAAAATACCAACCGCACGCAGCATCCGAACCGAAGTCGAGCAGAGAAATCAACAAAAGGATCACCCTACCATACATACAAAGAATATCAGAAACCGCGACGAGACTGCTGAAAACCTTCGGGATAGGTGTGACACACAAACCGACAAAGTCGCTACAATCAATCCTATGCAAACCAAAGGATGAAATAACAAAGGAAAACAAATCAAACATCATCTACAAAATAAATTGTGCCAACTGCGAGAAACACTACATCGGACAAGGCGGATGCTCCCTTCACCTTCGCCTACACGAACACCAGTTAGCAGTCAAACGCCATGATATCTCCTCACTTATATCAATACACGTGGACAACTGCGGACACTCATTCGATAGGAAAAATGTGGAAATCTTAGACAGAGGAAACTCCAAAAACATTAGAGAATTTTTAGAAGCCTGGCACTCAGATCAATCAGCAATGAACAAGCATATTGAAATCAATCCAATTTACCAACCAATCAGGAAAATCATGCACAAATCTAGGAACAAAAATCAAACCAATGGGAGACACAACCAAAACAAAGAAGTAAACAATGACAAATTTAAGGTCAATAAGCACCAAGCAACATCAAGGTGCACAGAACAAGCTGTGAAACACATATGGAGAAATTCGAACACTTCACTTCTATCTGAAGTCTGTGCTGATGATGTCGTTCAGAAGAACGATGAAAGCTCCACGACCAAACCATCCAGCTCAGAGAACAAAACTCCACCAAAGCCAGTTGGTATAGAACCTATTTCGAATGGTGTTTGTACGTTGTCTTTAATCATATACACAATATTTTATATACGGTAAGTGTAGAGTTAAATGTTAAGATGATAGAGTTATAGACTAATAATTAAGTAGTTGGAGATAATTTACTACTTACTTATACCTGTTAACCGTCGTGGTAGAGCATAGGCCTCCCACTAGCATTCTTTATCCAACTCTGTCATGGGAAATCCTTTCCAGTTCATTTCAGTTGCTACTCATCCTTTTCATGTCAGCTTCCAATTCCAGACGCAGTGTGTTCCTTAGTCTTCATCTTTTCCGTTTCCCTTCAGGATTCCAAGTTGGCGCTTTCCTCGTGATGAAGCTTGGTAATTTTCTCAACGTACGTGCTATCCACTTCCACCGTACTTTCCTAATTTCCTCTTTAACTGGAAACTGATTTGTTTTTCTCCACAGAAGGCTGTTGCCGATAGTATCCGGTCGACGGACACTGAGTATCTTATGTAGACAAGTGTTCATAAATACATGTACTTTTTGATGATCTTTGTGATAGTTCTTGAAGTTTTAGGTCCGTAAAGTAGAACTGTGTTGACGTTCGTATTGAAGGTTCTAACTTTGATGTTGACTGACAGTTGTTTGGGGCTCCATATGTTGTTCAATTATAGGAGTGCCACTTTTGCTTTGCCAATCCTTATCTTTACGTCTGTATCACGTCCTCCTCGTTCACCGATGATGCTGCCTATGTACGTAAAACTCTTCACCACTTCCAGAGTTTCGTCATCAAGTGTGATTGGGTTGATGTTCTCTGTGTTGCATTTGAGGATCTTGGTTTTTCCCTTATGTATGCTGAGGCTTATTGATGCAAAGGCCGCTACTACACAAGTTGTCTTCATCTGCATTTGTTAATGGGATAGAAGAGCTAGGTCATCTACGAAGTTCAAATCGTCTAGTTTCATTTAAATTGTCCATTGTATTCTGTACTTTCTCTGATATAATCCAGTCGACTACCATAAGAAAAAGGAAGGGTGAGAGTATGCGATCTTGTCTGACACCATTCCTTACTTGGAATGTATCTGTCATCTGTCCTCCATGCACGACTTTGCAGTGTACTCCATTGTGTGAATTCTGTATGATGTTGACAATCTGCTCATGTACAGTCTCTCACACTCACAGTCACTTCTGGCTAGATCTTATATAAATGTTATTTTCTATTTTATGGGTGTGATATGGTCTGTTTAACTTGTATATAAACCAGTTATGTTTGAAATACATGATTCATACCGTGTAGGCTGAGATCGGTGTTCTGGACTCAACAGCTAGGTCTAGGCAGGAAGAAGGACCGATAAGGACTCTAGACTACTCGAATAGGTTTATACATCATTTGTCCAGTCGATTATTCACTATTGTCTAATTGGCGGTATCATTACGTCATATATTGACAAGGCTACAAGTTATAACATATTTATAAGCACAACATTAATGCATCTTGAATGATTGAATACAAGTATTTGATCATTTCATAATTTTTTATAGATTTAATTAAACAAAACAATGACAATGCAACAATTCGAACTTTACTGATCAACGCTTATTGTTATATATCAGTTGGATGTTATGTAAGTTCAAAGAATGTGAAATCTATTCCAGAAGTTATGTTATATTCAAATAATATCAAGTACTTAGTTTGTAATGTTAATGTAGTTGATCAAATCTGTTAGAATAAATTCTTTAATAAATGCTTATAGACATTGATATCGTTCGCTTCAAACACCATCATGTTATCCACTTAACTGATGAGTTTAGGAAAGGTTCGAATCCCACAGTGAACATCAACTCTGAGATGCAGGCACATTCAACTGATGAGTCCCGATTGGGACGAAACGCGCGTCCACTGCTAGCCACTATCCATCTTTGTTTATAATGCTTGTGACTTAAGGCAATATCGAGGCAATCTTCACAGAATTCATAAATATCTATAAGATATTTTGTGGATATTATGGTAAGTTAATAGTTGAGTTTATAAGTTAATTGAAGCTAGACTACCATGGAAATCCCAAAAGCATTGAACGGCTGTTTCGTCCTAGTGGTCTAGAGGTTAAGCGTTCGCACGCGAGACCAACAGGTTCTGGGTTCGAATCCCGTGAGGCGGGATGGTGGATGCTCACTATTGAGGAGTCCCACACAAGCTTTCCATGATGATCTAGCTTTAATTGAATCATGAAGTCAACTATTAAATCTATAAGAGAGACTGATCGATTGCAGTCCTAAACATCATTGGGTTGATTCTAGAAATTTCTCATCGAATTTCTCAACAATTGCTTATAGAAGTTGATACTTCTGATAAAAAGTAAGAAATAATTCAAGAACGAATAGTTATATTGAGATTGTGAACTGATTGATGTTAGACTACCATTGAAAACTTGGAAGCATGGAATGGCCGTTTCATCCTATTGCGAGACTCCTCAGCAGTACGCATCCACGATCCAGCCCGCCGGATTCGAACTCAGGGCCTTCAGTCTCGTGCTGGTACACTTAATCTCTAAATCACTGAGCCAAAACCTAGCGGTGTTTGTACTGATTAGATTCTGTTATAAGAGATCAAATGACTAGATATTTTTGTATATCTTATTTTCTCTTAGATTATTTATTTTAACACAGATATTGGTACAAGGAGGCACCAAATACATATGCGTCACACAGATTTCATTTGATATGTGTGAGGGCTGTGATACTGACCGGGTGCCCAAACCGAAGAAGGTGGTTTTCTTAGAGGGCCACACCCGGAGCAATCGACCTGAAGATTTGATCCACAAGGCAGTGGAGATGCATTCCCATGGTAGCCGGTGACCAACAGTAGGTTCATACACCATTTGTTCCCTGAGGATAATGGAGCCCATGTGCATTATTAGTTGGGAATCAGGGTTTTCCAACTTCCCTAGATGGACTCTCCGTGTACATCAACCCGGTTAAAGCGCCGGACATTCGCTTTTCGTCCTCCCAATTTCGTAAACAACACCCCCGCCACGAGAAGGCAATGAGTAGGACTTCCCTGTCAGAGGCTATGTAGGCGTGGTTATGTGAGAGCATTTCGAGAAGGAGAGCGAACTCTCCCCACTCTTGGCCGTATCAAGGCATTTGGGGGTCAAATATTCTTGTATATCTTATTTTCTCTTAGATAGTTACATTAAAACATGAAGAAATGATGTTAAGAGAGAATCAATTCCATCAATATCCAGTATTTCTCACTGATTAGTTTCAGCCTCTCATCTTCATTCATGTCTTCATTTCTCTTCTACTTTTTCTACTCTTTTCTCAAGTGAAGTTTGACATTATGAATTCACTTTATTGATTATCAAAGAATTTATGGAATATGATATGTTGTCTGATATTGTTCCATGGTGTATTCATTATAGTATGAACCGTAATTATTACAAACTGATTTTGAATGTTAAATGTCAACAAAAAGTGGAACATAATCTGACAAATGTTATGCTTAAATTATTTAAAATCTTTACAAAACACCCATTATCAATTATTGGGTAGCTTAAAAAGGCTTTTATAAAACATACTATAGGTAATTGTAACATTTAATGTAAACAATGTCTATAGTTTTAGATGAAGATAGTATTAAATTACAAGTTGATGAGTTCGAAATGTAGACCATTTTGGAGCTGAGTTGATTGGTTTGAGATCCTTTGAGTGGCATATGTCCATACTATGCGGACTGCCTCGATAGTCTAGAGTCATAAGTATTATAGGCAATATGTAGAGTAGTTAGCAGCGGAATCAGGATGCGCGTTTCGTTATTTGGGGACTCATCAGCTGGATGTCTGCATCCCAGAGTCGAGTTCACTCTGATAAGTCACACATTGAGGAAAGCACAGAACTGCGTCACAAGGCAAGTCCCCAGTTGGGATCCTCAATGTCAAAGGAGAAGAGGCAGACCAAAGAACACATTACGTCGAGAAATGAAGAGAGACATGAGAGAAATGAACAAAGACTGGACAGAAATGGAAGGGAAGACTCTAGACAGAGTGGGTTGGTTGCAGAATGCTGGTCAGCTGCCTATGCTCCATTGGGAGTAACAGACGTAAATATGTCAGTAAGAAAGATTGAATTTGTTAAACAATAAACACTCAATCAGATCTCGAAACTTTAACACGTTCCCTTACTGATTATTTATCTAAGCATAAAGTTCCAAGTTTATTCTGTATCGTTATTTAGCTGTTCGTCTGAATTGTCCGTGTTTGTACATACATCAGTATATGTTTGTGTTTGCATAGAAGTGGTTATATGATCGAATGAGGAAAGGGTTTGTTCAGACAAACAAACAATCAGAAAACAGTTTAATTTGAAATATTATCGATCCCATGGGTGTGTTCAATAAAATCCGTTTCATTACATTAATATACCCTATTGCTGATCTACTGTTCTGTTAAATAATTTTATTATCACTATTAACATAAAGGAAAAAGGAAGATCCTCAAACACAACACGGACAACATCAAACCAGTCGCATTTGATGGAAAAACTCTGGAAGATGTAGAATCTTTCATATACCTAGGAAGCATCATCAATGATGAACAAGGAGGATCGGATGCAGATGTGAAGGCGAGGATTAGCAAAGCAAGGACAACATTATTGCAGTTGAAGAATATATGGAACTAAAAGCGACTTTTTTCAATCAATATCAATGTCGAAATCTTCTATACGAATATCAAAACAGTCCTACTGTACGGAGCTGAAACGTCGAGAATTACCACAATCAACATCAAGGGAATACAAGTATTTATAAACAGTTGTCTACGCGAAATACTTCAGATCCGTTGGTCAGATACCATCAGCAACAGCCTAATGTGGGAGAGAACAAATCAGTTTCCATCTGAGGAGGAGATTAGGAAAAGACATTAGAGTTCGATAGTACATAGATTACGGAAATCATCAAACTGCATCATGAGGCAAGCGCTAACTTGGAATCCTGAATGCAAGGAAGCAAGAAAAATAGGAAGGCTGAAAAACACATAACGTTTGGAAATGGAAGGAGATATGGAAATGATGAATAACAAGTAGAAGGAACTGGAAAGGATTTTTTAGGACAGTGTTGGATGGAGAGTGTTGTTTGGTGACCTATACTCCTCCACGAGGGTTAACAGGTGCAATTAAGTAAGTAAGTAAGTATATCAGTTTCTATGTAGGACTGAGAGCTTATATATGCTCGATTACTTACTTACTTACTTACTTAGCTACGCCTCTTACCCCTCATGAATGAATATAGACTATTCACCAGTAATCTCTATCCAACTATATCCTACGCAAGCAAATCAGTATATCATTAAATAATAAATCATTTGATGTAATTAAATAATCGATTGATATTGATTATTTGAATATTTGATTTATATTATTTATAGATGATTTACTAAAAATAATTAATGATCATATTAATCAAGAAAAGGCTTTTTTTCGTTTTTGTTTACATACCAAACCATTCAATATTACTAATTATATTTAATTATGTAGTAAAAACCTAGTTGTTTTCCATGAATAGAAAATTAAAAGTGACGGTTAAATGATTTATGATTGGAATAAACGAATTAGTTCCATAAGAATTTTGTCATAAACAGAGGGCTATTGATAGCACCTGGCGCGAGACTGATAGATCTTGGATTCGAATCTCGCCGGGGCGGGATCGTGTATGCACACTGTTGAGGGGTTCCATACTAGGTTGAAACGGCCGTCCAGTACTTCCAAGTTTTCCATGGTGGTCTAGCTTCAATTGACTCATGATTTCAACCAGTGAGATGTCTAATACTCATATATAATCTTTAGAATTATGCCTCACATAAGATCAAATTAATGGATGACAAAGAGTATGATATCAACGATATCACTGAGATGAGAATCAGTGGTTGCACTATATTGTGAATTGACTGAATAATAGAATAAAAACTTTAGATAACTTTTATTAGAGTTCAGATGAACAGGTTTTGGAGAGATTATTTTAATACTGTAGACAATGTTCATCACAAATCCGTCTTGTTTAATGTTTATCAGTCATCATTGATGGCATTGGGAATCGAAAATTGATCAAAGCTAAAATCATGTACCAGCGAGATGATCCAAAGTTCAAGGGATCTCTGCAATTCCTGGAGGTCCTATTTCCGATCTCTGTAAACGTCATAGGTACATGCTGCCGAAGTATCTTTTACAGGGCCGAAACTATCCATGGGTCTTTGGGTTTCAGAGATCAACCATTGATGAATTACACCTTTCAAATCTTTAGTTGCTAATCTTATAGAATGGTAAAATACTGTTTGTTCTTAATTGCTTCATGTTTTATCTGATATCTGACGTTACCAATGGGCTATCTTGGCCGCGACCGACGTCCTGTAGGATTGAGATGTATTCACAATTGATCGATCACTGGGTGGTGATTAATATCATGGATTTCATGTCCTTCTTAGTGCAAATTGAATCCTATTGATGAAATTGTAGTGAACATGTTTTTGATGGAGTTTTGTTCTCTGGGTTGAATTATTTGGTCGTGGAGCTTTCATCGTTCTTTTGAACGACTGGGAAGTTGAGTGACACCGGATCGAATCAGTTAGGGAGCACCTTGCTAACCAGTGCCTAATAGCACGAAACCCGGGTTCAGGGTTTCCTATCGACTACCTCCAACCACCATCTTAAAAAAAACATATTTAGCACAAATCAATCT